TTTCTCCGCCTCCTCCTCATCCATCCGCCTCTCTTCCGCCTCCCCCTCCTCCTCCTCCTCCTCCTCATCCTCCTCCTCCTCCTCCTCCTCCTTCTCCTCGTCCTCCTTCTCCTCCTTTTCTTCCCCACCTTTCGGAAAAAAAAACAACCTTGGGACCCCCCCGCGCCTCGTGATGAGGGGGTGCCTTGGACGCCGTATGTGGGCCCCCACTGGCAAATTACAGCCAGATTCCCCTTCCCCCGCCCCGCCCCCGGTCGGCCCTTCCCGTCAAGCGCCCTCGGCAACGACGCTGCAGAGGGACCATGGAGGGAGGGCGAGGAAGGAGGCAGGAGAGGAACCGCGGATCGTCGGCAGGCGGGGACGCGAAGGGGGCCTGGCGCGAGGCCGCCGCGAACGTCGCACGGCAAGCGCTATTCCCCCCACCCACCTGCCCCTACCTCATCCACTCCTGCCCCAAACTTCTCTTCCTGCTCCACCTCCCACATGCCTCCTCCTCCCTCCTCCTCCTCGTCATCATCCACATCATCCGTAGCATCATCGTCAACATCATAACCATAATCGTCAGCAGCATCATCAACATCATCACCACCACCACACTCGCCATCAGCATCATGAGCACCATCACCAGCAGCAGTACAATCAGCACAGCAGCATGTGGCTCCTCCACATGTCTCTTGAAACTCCACATCCGCCTGCCTTGGTATCCACAATATCGTCATCATCATCACCATGGTCGCCCTTCGCCCCCGAAATAGCCCTGAGCTTGCCCAACGAGACGAGCAAGAGAAAAGTGCACCGCCGGGAGGAGCTTGCACCGCTTGCAGCAAGCCAAGTAAGTCGAGGGTCCTGCGAACCAGAGCAGCCGCAGGGCAAGGGAAGCGAGAGCGAGGCACAGGAGGAGGAGAGGCTGAAATGAGCATGACAGCCACATCCCTCCTCCTGACTCTCTGGGAGGAGCAGCTCCCCGCTAGCGTGCGGCAGCACGCTGAGGGCTGGGGGAGGGGGGAGCAGCAGCCGCAGACGCAACGAGCTCAGCACTCCGTGCCAGGCCAGCGCAGGCGCAGGAGGCGAGGATTGGCAGGAAAGAAAGCATTGCCATCGCTCGGACGTCCATTCCCCATGTCTGTGCCTGTTTCATGCGTGGCTGTTTTGCTCTAAGATCCACGATGTTCCTCGATAGCCCTCGCCAAGGAAAAAAGCACACGCCCGAGCAACGCCAAGGAACAGGGTCCTGAGGGAAACTGAACCTGGGCCCCCAAGAGGCCCCAAGAGGACCTCAGAACTGCCTCCAGGAGGCCTCCGTGAGGCCCCCCACCAGACCTCAACGAACATCCAATAGGCCTTGTCCCCACAACCCAGGCAAGGTGGCGGGATGGGCCGAAAGGCACTAGATAGGGCCATGAGGAACACGGGCCCTGGACCACAGGGACTTCCCCCCCCGAGAAAGGCTATCCGTCGTGGGTGGCTTTTTGACGGCCCACGGCCATCAGGGAGCCAACAAGAGAACGGCGAACCAAAGCTCCAGCGGGAAGGCCCTTCTCCCTCCCTGAAAGACAGCCCAGTCCCTTCACACGGCGAGACCCACCTTTCCGAAGATGTGATTTTTCAACCGGCGGTTCTTCTTTGATAGAAGCCTCCTACACGGGGTCGGAGTAGGTGGAGTCAGAGGATCGCGCCGCATCGGTGATACATTGGCGATGCATCGGCGATGCACCGGCAATGCATCGGCGATGCATCGGCGACGGCGGCGGTGCATCGGTGACGTCCGCGTGAAGAAAAAACAGGCTCCGCCTCGAGCCGCATCGGCGCTGCATCGGCGATGCAGCGCGATCCTCCGACCCCATCTACTCCGACACACCATCTAGGAGGCCTAGATTTGAATAAGGCCCTCGGGGGGCCTTTTCGGGACCTGGACCTATCAAACATTGATCTGGGACACTGAACTGCCCCCGGGGAAGCGGCCGAGGCCTGTCGGCGGATGCCTGGGGAGGAGAAGGGAGTGAGGCGTCGGCTTCGCAACACCGCGCCGCAGCGCGCTCGCGCGCGAGCGAAGGAAGGCGTGCCACGTGAGCGACGATCCAAGCGGGTCATTACGCGAGATGACACAGCGACCCTTACGCCGCAGCTTACACGCGGGCCGCTAGCGCGGCACGCTACATTGGAGACGAAGGCGCTTACGCGTGACCTCACGCGGGCAGCTGACGCGCTGATGTCGGCGCGAACGACCCCGCTTGTTCGCGTCGCCCACATGAGCTCAGGGGCGACTTCACGGCCTCAGCTCCTGCCTGCGCGCCTATCTAAACCGAGGGGCAGCGACAGAGGGGGGACTGGCACGGGTGGGGGCACGTCGACCTCGGATCGGCGACACATCGACGACAGATTGACGACAGGGCAGCCGATAGTGAGTTCGAACGTCCTGGGCAGGGTTGGGCTATCAGGCCCCCAACGGCGATCAATGGGCGATTAGACGTCGATGCATCCCCCCTTCAGTCGGACCTAGGCCAGGAGAACACCCCTCCAGAAAATGAGGCCCTCGGTCGGCCAAAACGGACAGAACGTCCGAGGGTGCCCCCTCCAGGATGCACGAGAACGTCCAGATAAACACGAAGATCACCGCTGGGGTACCCTTCCCGAACCGACCTCGACCTCCCACCTCGGTTGGACGGCCTGCCGACCTCCCTCCTGCCGCTGCTCCTGTAAAAAAACACCCTCCCTCGAAGAAGGCTACCTACTGTAGCCCGCGCCGCGAGGGGCGCCGCGGCGCCGCGCCCGCTGTCCTCAGAGGAAGTACAAGCAACAGCGGCGCACAACTAGAACTTTTCAGAGCTCCTCGCGGATCTCTCGTCGGGCCGGGCGAAGGGGGGGGGATAGCAAAGGGGGGGGGTGCGAATCAGCTCACGTAGCTGATTTTCCCGGCATCTCCCGGCGCCGGGAGGCGCCCATGTATCGAGGAATGGGCCCGGCGGCGGGGCCGAAACCAGCTGCATGCAGCAGATTTCGTACCCCCCCCCCTTTCCCTATCCCCTCCTTTCGTTCGGCCCGATCTTGGACCCGCCCTGGGTAAGACGAAGGCAGCATCGAGACAAAAGCGGACCGACGTAAGCCAGAGGTCTCTGAAATCGGCGGGTTGGGGCTTGTTTTTGTTCTAGACTCTGGCAAGTTTACTTCAATGGACGGGCGGGGCTGAACCTGAAGCAGGCCGCAAACGACCTGGGGTGCGGAAATCACGCAAGTCGAAAGGCACTTGCACGCTCGCATTCGATTGAAGAGGGGCGAGGCGGGGCGGGGGGCGGGGAGGGCGAACGCCATGCAAGTAAACTTGGCTGAGTTCAAATAAAAAGCTCTTTGGAGGATGTACCAAGCGCCGCGGCCGCTTCAGAGCGTTCTGGACCGCTCTGGGAGCACTCCGGAACGCTCTGGAGCGGGCTCATCTCGATTCTTCGGAGATAGACAGAAACCCCTGGTGTAAAACGTGGTTCAGTGAAAACGGCCTCGGGCCCAAACCTGGCGGGCGCAGGCCTGGAAAGTGACGGCCGAGGCGCCCTCTCGAGAAACGACAACGGACAACTCACGAATCGACGTGTCAGGGTAGGAGGTCCGTCCACCCCCGAAACTACTGGGAGGCTTTCGTCGGAAAGATTAAGAAGGATGAAACCCCATTTGGGAGCTATTACGCTGGAGTGGGCCTCGGACCAATCCGCGGGATTAAGCCCGACAATTCACTAATCGACGTGTCAGGGTGGGGGCTCTGTCCACCCTCGAATGCTGGGCACGTCCGACCGTCTTGCCGGCCAGGGGGCGGCGCCGGGGGGCGCCGGCCATGGTGGGCCCCGGCGCTGATCCGAGGAGTCCGCGCGGCGCTCCGAGAGTCTGTGCTCGAGTAGGGGATCGACTACAGTACAGAGAGTTGACTCGCCCCAGAGCTGGCTTGGTCTTCGGCTCCACGAGAAATCTGCGGGAGCGTTTGTTCAGATCCACGAACCTTCGAAGCGCATGACTCGACAAGGAAGTCAAGTTGGAAGTACATCGATGTTGCACGGCAGGTTCACGTCGTGTCGACCCCCAGCGCTGGTTCCTGACACCGCGGGGATCGTCCAAACTTGAACGGTAAGCCCTTTCAGAGAGGCCGGATCGGTCAAGGACGAGCCGATTCTGGGCTACAGGCGGCGTTCAACCTTACACGTCCGCGCTGGGGTCGCCGCCGATCAATCCCGCCGTAGTCTGATCTTGCTCCCATCGAGCTTACGGAACACATCCCAAAAATAATGTCGAGCACCCGGAAAAGTGTCGAAAGAGTGTCGAAACAGTGTCGGATGAGTGTCTTCCACGACACGTGAAAATCCTCACGTTTGGGGGTCTTTTCCTGGTGCTCGAAATTCTTTTCTGGCGATTAAGGCTAGAGCAAGTTGGAACATCATTACCGTAGTCGACCCCCTACTCTCGGCTGCACGTAAGAGTGACCCTGGGCAAGAGCGACCTCTGGTGCGCGGCTTCCTGGGGGGGGGGGCGAGGAGGCCACACACAAGTGCGCAGGACGCTGCCATCGCAACGAGCGCGGCCATTGGGGAACCCCAGAGAGCGCGCACCAGAGGCCACTCCAGCGAAGGGCCACTCTTACAAGGTGTGTCGGGAGCGGCAAAGAGGGGGGCGTCAAAGAGGGGGGGGTGCAAATCATGACCGGCGGCATGTGCGCGGCCCACCGGGGGCTCCAGGGACGTAATGGAATAAGAAGAGGCGCCATGGAATCTGGGAAATACCATGGCCCACGCCATGATATCCACCCCCCCTAGTCATCACCCCCCACGTTGCCGCCCCCGAGTGTAGTCGATACTCGACCGATCCCGCTCGTTTTCCCTTCCGGTCTTGGCGGCGGCCGCGGGGGGCCGGGGCGACCCTCGGGAGCCCCGCCGCGCCGGGCCGGCGGCCCCGCCGGCGCGGCCGCCGGCGCTCGGAGGGCGCCCCCCGCGGGCGCCGCGGCGTGGCCGGGAGCGGCACAGCCGCGCCGCGGGGCGCGGCGCGGCCGCGCCGGGCCAGCAGCGATGGGCCAATTTCCACCACCACTGCATAGGTACCAGGAGGAGGGAGGAGGAGGAGGAGGAGGAGGAGGGGAGGGAGGAGGAGGAGGGGAGGAGGAGGAGGACCTCCTCATCCTCCTTGCTCCCCTTCGCTGCCTGTGGACGTGGCGGTGGAAGATTTGCCCATCAAGCAGCGGCGGCAGCGCCACGGCGGCCGCCGCCACCAGCACGGCGGCGGCGGACGCGGCGCGGAGCCACGGCGGCCGCCGGGCCGGCTCGGGGCCCTCGGGCGCGGCGGGCGCGGCGGGCGGCACCACCTAGAATGGGCGACAGAGGGGAAAGGGTCTGGTGGCCCTCCTCCTCCTCCTCCTCCTACTCCTCCTCCTCCTCCTGCTGAATCCGCGGCCCCAGCACCGCGCCCGTTTCAGGCATGGTGACCACTGGGGCCAGGCGTGTCGGCGGGAGGTCCATGCGTTGCAACAGGCCAGGGGGGGGGTCCGCGCCCTCCGCGCCCGAGGGCCCTCCTCCTCCTCCTCCTCCTCCCTCCTCCTCCTCCTCCTCCTCCTTCCTCCCTCCCGAGTCCTAGGCAGGCAGAAAAGAGAGGGGGCCGAGAGCCCCGAGCGCGGGGCGGAGGCCCGGGGGCCGCACGCGGGCGCGGGGGGCGGCACCACCATATATGATCCAGGGTCGAGGGCCCACGGCCCCCCCCCCCCCCAGATGGTATGGTCCCAGGATTCCTCGGCCCCCCCCCCCCAGATGGTATGGTCCCAGAGACGACGACGACGACGAAGACGACGACGACGACGACGACGACGGCGACGACGACGACGGCGACGACTACGACGACGGCGACGACGATGACGACAACCACGACGACGACAACGACGGCTGCGGCGGCGACGACGCCGGCGGCGGCGGCGACGACGACGATGACGACGATGACGACGGCGACGACGACGATGACGACGACGACGAGGACGACGACGACGAGGACGACGACGACGACGACGAGGACGTCGAGGACGACGACGACGACGACCTCTGAACCACCACAGCACCACACCACATCCACAGGGGGGGGAGGGGGCACCGCAGCGCAGCACCACGCCACGCCCACCTCTGAACCACCACAGCACCACACCACATCCACAGGGGGGGGGGGGGGAACCGCAGCGAAGCACCACGCCACGCCCACAGGGGGGGGCGGGGGGGACCATCGCGCGGGGGGGGAGGGCCCAATGGCATCAGCATTGGGGGGGGGGCCAAGCCCTGGACCATATATAAGGTCTGGACGCTGCCATGGATCTGGCTGGTGGCACCGGTCGCTTCCGTTCGCCTGGACTCGGGCCCCGGGGGCAATCGGTCTGGCCCGAAGCACGTGGAGTCCGGGCCTCAGGTCGTGACCTGTCACGATCGCAGGGCTCGAGTTAAACAGTGTTTTCCGTTTTCGTTTTGTTTTCGTGATCCCTAGTTCTGCCTTCGTTCCACATTTGCTGCAAAACGAAAACAAAACGAAAACGGTCCACGAAATTGCCAAAAAACCGTTTAGCTCGAGCCCTGCACGATCGTGCAGCCTTTGGCAGCGTCGGATCCCAGCGCACGCGGCGCAGTGGCGTGGCGACCTCACGCGGCGGCTTTCGCCGGCCGTCAGCTAGACAGGCTGCCTCGGAAGTAGGAGCGCACACGCGCCGCCTCAGGCAGCATGCGCGCGGAGTCCCGCGCAGCCGACCCCGGTTTTCTGCGTCGCTCACGTGGTCCGAGGGTGCCAAGGACGGACATCCGACGATGCGACTTTCTGTGCTGACTACAATACCTACCAAGTCACCCCAACCTGACCCGAAGGCCAAATTCCGCGTTGGGGGGGGTACGGGTTCCACGCGTGTTTTTGCAGTGCCCCCCCTGGGAATGGAGGGCAGATTGGGGCCATCGGGTTGGGTTGGGGTAGTTTCGTGGGCGGTGCCTTTTCTGTGCACGGCCCACAGTAGTTCCCGACCCCTCTCCCGCGGGTGTGTTCGCCCAGCGAGCCCTCCTACAGAAGGATTTGGACGAAAAACGAACCATTGTCCAGATCGATTTCAAACATAGTCCAAGTGTAAGCAACCAAAATCGTCCCCATGCCATTTTTTGGCTAGCTCGCTCGAAGAATTCCTCCTGTGGAGGGGCACGCCCGCCCTGGAACGTACTTGGGATGGCCCCCCGGGGGCCCAACACCGCGGAGCCCGAGGGGGGAGGGCCGGGATCGAGGCAGGAGGCCGGGAGCTCCCGAGGAGCCGAGTCGCCAGAGGCGCGACCCCCCCCCCGGGAACCTCCTGGGAGGCCAAGGGCGGCGCCAGAAGTCGAGGCAGGGGCTCCAAGAATTGAGGGATGAAAAAACGACCCTACTCCAGATCTCGTCCCCAGACCCCCCCAGGCCCTCCAAGATAGCCTGGAAAAGACCCCCCCACCGAAATGAGACCCCCTTTATTACGAAATCTGGAGTACCCTGGGTCACAAGTGCGTGGTCTGTAGACCTCCTGGGAGGCCCCCAGAGCCTGGAGCCGCCAGCAAGCGGCACATCACGCAGGGTTTACCCTGTCAGCCGACAGGAGTTTCAGCGCACAGCGCCTCGTCAACCAGGGTAGGGGCGTTCTTCAAGCCCTTGAAAGAAGTCACCACTTGCCATCGCTCGGACGTCTGTTTCCCGTGCATGTTTCGGTTTCGTGCGTGTTTTTTGTTGTTCCAGATGGTCGAGGATGATCCTCGAAGATCCTCGCCAGGAAAAAATGCACTCGTCCGAGCGATGCCAAGACCACGTCGAGGGATCTGGGGATGTACCCCTGGCCCCAGAACCCCCCCCCCCCCAGGACCTCCTGGGAGGCCCAGGACGGCGCCCAGAGCGACCCCACGGGGCCCATGGATGCAGCCGCGGGGGCCCCAGAAGGGCGCGAGAAGCTGGGGAGAAATAGCCCCTGGGCTCGCCCTGAGGTCCGACGTGGCGACGAGAACTGCTGGAACGCCCTGCGCTGCAGAGCCGGACTGGGGCCCTCACCCTCTCGAGCCCGACGGCTCTGCGCGGGCCCCGGGGCACGAGTCCCGGCGAAGAGAGCCCGGTGCGAAAACGGGGCGACGCCAGGACCTCAAGGAAGGACACCTTTCCCACAGACATGACCGCGTCGTAAAAAAATCAGGACGGGAAGTTTTTGCATATTTTCGGCCCCTGGGGGCCTTCGCCCGGCCTCGGGACCGTCAAAGAACGACTCAGGGCGAAAGACCGGCCCCGGGGAAAGGGTCGGGACTTCCGGGGGCGCCGTCCTGAAAAAATCAGGACGTCGCATGTCTGGGCACCTTTCGCAACTCCCGACGCCTGCACGCGGTAGCGCACGGTCCGGGACCACAGCCAGGCGCCCGTGTTGTCCCAGCGGAGCAGCAGCAGCTGCCGCCCGTCCACGCTCTGCGCGGGCGGACGGCGAGAGCCCCAGCCCGCCTCCCGGAGCACCCCCGAGGTCCGCTCGCCCCTGCCCGGCACCCTCAGCGCCTCCCGAGGACGAAGCGGCTTCGCAGGGATCGACCCAAACCGGGTTTGTCGTACACGTGGCGTTTTTGTCGGTGTCCCGCGCTCTGCCTCTCATCCGCCTCTGCCGCGGACCGCAGTCGAACCGAAAGCGGCCCACGAGAGCGCCACAAAACAGCGTTGAGACCGACCACTGCAGCACAACCATCAGCGGTCGGAGCTCCGCGCGGACATCCTGGCTCGGCGCTGGGCCCCCTGGCAGCGCCGCTGGCGCAGCCCCTGGGTTCCAGTGCCGATCTAAATTGAAGGGGCCCTAGGACACACAAATAAATACACACAAATAGCAGGATTCCCGATATTTTCCTCTTCCCCCCCACTTCCCATATTTTCCTGTATTTTCTGGGGGATCGACGATTAATTGTGCCTGTGTGTGTTGTTCTCCTCCTGATAAGAACTGCGCGCGGACCTCCGACAAAGAACTCGATTATATGCCGTTACTTCGTCCTCGCGCCTGCCAGTTCTCGATCGGCTCCCACTTGTCGGCGACGATCGGCGCGGCGCCGTCTTCGTCCTCCAGCTCCGCCGCGTGGTCCTCCTCCCCGGGCACCGACTGGAGGACCGTGAACTCCATCTCCCCGCCCTCGACGTCGAAGTCCCAGTGCAGCGTGGCGTTGGTCGGAACCTCGACGGGCAGCTCGAGGACGTCGTTGGCGCTGATGGTGATCAGGCCCTCCTGCACCCTCCGCTTCGACGCATAGAGCCGTCTGGCACCCTCGCGGACTGCCATGCTGCCTTCCGCCTCCGCCGGCAGCGACGGGGCAGGCGCCGACCTGCGGCCAGCAGCTGGAGCGCGGGCCGCGTCGCGAGCTCTCCTTGGCGGCGCGCAGAGCGCGGTAGGGGGACGGGGAAAGCTTTTCAGAGAGAGACCACCTCTCAGAAAACGCAGGCACACTGAAACAGACAACGCCCGCGCAGTCTAAGAAGCATCCTCCTTCTAAGAAGCCGTTCCTCCCTCCTTGCTCTGTTTTGACGTGGCAATCTCAAGGTGCCAAAATACGGTTACTGCGCTGAGACTTATTTCGCAGGTGGGGCTCGTCAGACCGCTGACGAGCCACAGATGGCAGCAGTGCGCAAGCGAACTACAATCAAAATGCGGTGGCTATCAAATCTGGCTTCACGTGGCGGATTCCGGAATCCTTGAACCCAAAAAGGTTGTCATCTCTTGGGACGTCGACTTTTGCTTCCGCGGGTTTCCGCCTGCCTTCCGCCAGCTTCCGGCAGCGGAAGCGGCTAGGTTTGACTTCCGCCGACTCCCCCCGCCCTTCCGCCGAGGAAGAGACGGCAACTCCTTCGATCCTCGAAGACAAAGCCATTTGTGGGAACGCTCCACGTGTCTGGGGAAACCAAAAGATACCAATACCGCTACCCCGCGGACCTCTCCCGGGGTGCGTTCTGACCAAGATTTCGGAGCGAATCCAGCGGTGGCGACGAGGGCCTCCCAGGAGGCTGAAAAAAAGGAAAAAACGAACGAAGGGTAGAGGTATGGGTGCGTTTTCCTCCTCGGAACGTCCTCGTGACACCCTGCCCCCCTTTGCGCGTGGCCGAGCGTCGCCAGCTCCCTGTCTTGATGGGCAGACTTTCACCACCACTACCATATGTGGGAAGGGGAGAAGGAAGGATGAGGAGGTCTTCTTCCTCCTCCTCCTCCTCCTCCTCCTCCTCCT